GCAAAAAAAAATAGAGAGATAATGTGACCAAAATAAGCTGTTAATTTATATATTAGATTTAGATATATACTTATCTCCTTGCATTGTAGATATAGTCCATCTCTCTCTATCTCTGTCTCCTTCTATACATATCTAAGTTTATGTTTAGCCTATAAATACAGGCTCTCTTATTGTATTCAATTCAATTCAATATATATAAAATACACAGTTTTTTCTCACTTTCTCTCAACCATTGTAACATGGTGTTACAGCACAGGTCTTAAATCCTAGCTCCTCTTTTCTCGTGCTTATTGCCCATAAGCAATGGCATTATCAAAGCACAAAGCACAGGGTTCCAGATTACACCATTATTTGTTCAACAACATTATTTCGTCATCGTTGTTGACCAAACTTTTACAAATTTTTCATCCTTGTGCTCGGAATTCTCTCCCGGTTCCAGCGCCACCAGGCCCGTCACCAAACACCACCAGACACACCCTCACGCGCCGTTTTTATTGTCGGCGTGTCAAGTCTTCCGCCGCCACTGTTACACGCGCCTTTACGTGACTTTCAGTTGCCGCTCACATCAGCCTAACGTCAGCCCTTCATGTGCTCTCCATGCACCGTCCTGCTACTGTGAGCCACGCGTTGTCTCTGCTATCTTACACTGCGTCTCCGTTCTGCTAACATGCGCCGCGCTTTTTGTTGACGTCATCCATGCCCTGCTGACATCATCTCTGGCCCTTCCCTTTATTTTGCCTATTTTTTTGGTGATTTCACCCCGTTTTCGGCTATTTTCGACATTCTGGATTCACTGGTGTACTCTGTTTAATCCAGTTTTACTACGCCATCACTGGTTCTCCTTTGTGAGTCATTATTTAATCACCTCATGGCTTGTTCAGACAGTTATCCTCTGCACGGTCACTATTCTGGACCCTCCACAATATAGAGTCGAGATCAGTCTTCAGTACATTTTGCATCTACTACAGTTGTCTCTGGTTCCTCATTCGTTGTTGCCCCATCACCACCCTATATTCTTCAAGACATTAAAGCTATTTTCAAAAAGGCTATTTCTACCTTTGGTACACCCTCTGCTGTCCTCTCAGTTACTCCAGGTACTTCTTCTTGGTATTTTGATTTCGCTTGTTGCAACCATATGACCTCTGACCCTACATTGTTTTCTTTATTTCTACCTCTAATGTCTCTCTCCCTCACACTTATCTGATCCCTAATCTTACCCTTAATCTTATCTCTATTTGTCAACTATGTGATCTTGGCCTCACTGTTCTATTTTCTCTAACTGGTTGTGTTGTGCAGGATTCGAAGACAGGAGAAACCCTTGGGATAGGTCGTTGACATGGACGTCTATACGAGCTCATCCATTTTCGCATTCCCTCCTTAAGTCCTTCCAATGTTGAGACTGCTTCTTCTGCTACTATTAGTTCTCCTCTTGCTTTATGGCATTCAATTAGGTGATGTTCCAAATGATAAAGTAGACTGTCTATCTTGTCAACTTGCAAAATAGCCTACCTTACCATTTACTACTAGTACCTTTATGTCTCATGCACCTTTTGATCTCATACACTCTGATGTTTGGGGGCCTTCATCTAATACCACTATGGGGGGATCTAAATACTTTGTTATCTTTGTCAATGATTTCACTTATTTTACCTGGTTATTTCTTATAAAATTTCGCTCTGAGTTATACCAAACATACTATGATTTTTCTCACATGGTCAAAACTCAGTTTTCCTCTATTATCAAATTTTTTCGTGCTGATAATGCTCAGGAATACAAAGAAACTCATTTTTTACAATTTCTTTGTCAAAATGATACACTTTCTCATTATTCTTGTCCTGGTACCTCCTAACAAAATGGTCGTGCTGAGCGCCAACATCGCCGTATCCTCGACACTGTTCATGCTCTTTTAATGTCTTCTTCTTGTCCTAAATGTTTTTGGGGAGAAGCTGCTTTCACAGCAATCTATATAATCAACTGTGTTCCTTCCCCTACCATCAACAATCAAACCCTATATGATCGTATGTATGGCACACCTTATGCCCATACTGGTCTTTGTGTGTTTAGATGTGTTTGTTTTGTTCTTCTTCAACTACATGAGTGTACCAAATTAGAATCTCGCGCCCGTTTGTTTGCTTCTTGGGGTATGTGATTGAACATAAAGGTTATCATTACTGGGATCCTCTTTCTCATCGTCTTCATGTCTCTCATCATGTAGTAATTTGGGATCACAAAATGTTCTCCTCTGTATCTAAGTTTCATTTATCCACTCATCTCATTACACCATTCTTTACAAATCCCTCTCTTCTGTTTGATGAGCTTGATACAGACACTATTTCTAACATGATGACTTTGGCCCATCCTGAGGATTGTGCTCCGTCTCCTAGTCCTGCTGCTCCACTCCTTGATCCTGAGCCGGCTTTTGTACCTGCTCTTACTCCTGCTCCTGCTCCTGCTCCACCTCTTAGTAAGCCTCATACATCCCTTGATTCCACTACATCATCTTCTGCACCAGAGGTACCTCTTCGCCATTCTACTCGGGTAACACAACCTTCTGTATTTCTTCGTGATTTCATTGTTGATTCCACTATTTTTTCTTCTCATGAACCTACTTCTTATCAAGAGGTTTGGTCCGACCCTCTTTGGCAGCAAGCAATGAGTAATGAACTGCAGGCTTTAGATAAAGCTCATACCTAGGATGTAGTTGACCTTCCACCTGCCAAGAGTGTTGTTAGTTGTAAATGGGTTTACAAGATCAAAACCCACTCTGATGGTTCCACTAAGCGTTACAAAGCTCATCTCGTTGCTCGGGGGTTTACTCAAGAATATGGGATTGATTATGATGAAACATTTGCTCATGTTGCCCGTCTTACCTTAGTTCGTAGCCTACTTGCCATTGTTGTTGCTCGCCATTGGAGTCTTTGTCAGATGGATGTCAAGAACACCTTTCTCAATGGTGATCTCACTGAGGAAGTTTATATGCAGCCTCCTCCTGGTTCCTTAGTTCCGTCTGTAAACTTCGCCATGCTTTGTATGGTTTGAAACAAGCTCCCCGTGCCTGGTTTGCCATGTTTAGTTCTACCATTAATGACTTTGGATTATCTTCCAGTGCCTATGATTCTGTTCTGTTTATACGCAAGACAAAACGTGGTGCTATTCTTCTTCATCTCTATGTTGATGATATGATCATCACCAGGGATGACACAGTGGGTATCTCTATTCTCAAACAATTCCTCAATCGCCAGTTTGAGATGAAAGATTTAGGTTTGCTTAGTTACTTCCTCGGTTTGGAAATTTCTCATGATTCTTGCAGTTACTTTCTCACCCAGGCTAAGTTCAACTCTGATCTCTTGGCTCGTGCTGGTCTTACCTATTGCAAGACAGCTCCTACCCCAGTTGATCCTCGAACTCGTCTCATACCTCTTGACGATTACCTGTTGTCTGATGCTACCTTATATCGTCAGCTAGTTGGCAGTCTTGTTTATCTCACAGTTACTTGTCCCGACATTGCTTATGCTATTCATATTGTCAGTCAGTTCATGGCTGCTTCTCGCTCTCCACACTATGATGCTTTGATTCGCATTTTGCGCTATCTCAAAGGAACTATGTTTCATGGTCTTCACTACTCCACACACCATCTCTACAATTACACGTATTTTCTAATGTAGATTGGGCAGGGGATCCTATTGATCGTCGTTCTACTATAGGATTCGGTTTCTTCTTGGGTAACTCTTTTATTGCCTAGCATAGCAAGAAGCAAACTCTTATTGCTCGTTCTAGTACCGAGGCCGAGTATCGTGCTCTTACTGACACTACTCAAGAACTTTTATGGTTTCATTGGCTCCTTGCTGATATGGGTGTTTCTTCCCCTGGTGCCAGCTCTCTCTATTGTGACAATCAGAGTGCCATTCAGATTGCTCACAATGATGTCTTCCATGATCGCACCAAACATACTGAGATTGATTGTCATTTTATTCAACAGCATGTTACACGTGGCACTGTTCATCTTCTTCCTATTTCTTTTGCTGATCAACCTGCTGATATTTTCACCAAGGCTCATCCCCATAGTCATTTCGGTGATCTAGTTTCCAAACTCAAGTTGGTTGATGCTTACCCTACCTTGAGTTTGAAGGGGGCTGTTAATATATACTTGTATTGTAGATATAGCATATAGATTTATACTTATCTCCTTGTATTGTAGATATAGTCTATCTCTCTCTATCTTTATCTCCTTCTATACTTATCTAAGTTTATGTCTTTTTCTCACTTTCTCTCAACCATTATAACATAAGCTAATAAGCTGAATTTTTTTTTTCTAGTGGCGAAAACATCTACAACCTCTTCCACTATGAATCACCATAGTCGACCGTCAAGGAAATATTTGAAAAATACCAATTCGTATTTGGAGGAAACATAGCTTGCACCACTACGATTTTACCTTCTTTTTACTTTGGTCTTGGCCACAAATAAAAAGCGCTAATTTTTTTTCGAAATCTTTGTTGCACAATGTGCGTCAAATGTTGATAGTAATTCCAAAGTGAGTGTAGTTTTTTTTTTTTTTTTTTTTGATTAGTTTGAGAAACACAATTTCTCATAATTGTTATTCTTTTTGGTTAACCATTTTTTCCCGGTGTTGTAATTCATTTAGCTCTTGAGAAACATGGCATGGGTGTGCAACAATTCTACCTTCGATGAGTTCTTAGATGATGAGATTCTTGGTAGAATTTGTAATGAGATGGTAGTAGTGGAAAGTAGGGTTGGGCATAGGGTTATCCGACCCGCATAACCCGCCCTACCCGACGCTACCCGCACATGTATGGACAGTTTCACAAATACAATAGGGTAGGGTGTGGTTTGAAATATTTCAATTTTTCGAGTTGCGGGTGGGTTGCGGGTTTGACCCGCACCCACCAAAACCGCCCGTAGTTTCCATTTTTTTTTTTAAAGAAAAAAGATGAATCGTTCATCTATTTTATTCCCATCCGTAGATGATATTTTTTGCCCTAACCCAAACAAAACCAATTGAGATCAAAACCCTAATCTCAACTCATTCTCTTATCTCGACTCACTGAGACTGAGAGAGAGCTCTCTTCATCTTCTCATCTCTCTCCCATTTTTCATCTACGCAAATCGCACGCGGCGATCGACATTCAAACTATGATTTGTATCTCTGAGGTAAGGCTCTCTCTGTCTCACTTTCTCTCATCGATTTGTGATTTGATTTGTATCTCTGTCTCTATCTCGCTCTCTCTCTCTCCGATTTGCTTTTTTTTTTAGGTAATAAGATCTGTCTCACTCTCTCTCATTTTTTATCTCCACAGCTCGCATCAATCGACCTTCATCTTCTCATCTCTCTCTCTCGTTTTTCATCTACGCAGCTCGTACGTGATGATCAATCTTCGCAATCGACTCTCTCTCTCTCTTCGGCAACTCTGGGGTAAGGCTCTCTCTGTCTCGCTCACTCTCCCTGATCTGTGATTCGTATCTCTATATCTCTGTCTGTCTCTCTCTCTCTCTCTCTCTCTCTCTCTCCCTCTCAGATCTGTCTCTCTCTTTTGTTTGAAATTGTTTGAATTTTTTGAAATTGAATCTGTTTAGATTTATCTGTGTTTTGTATTTTGTTTAATTTTTGGGGGGAGTTCGATCTTTGTAATCTGAATCGGTTAGGTGGGTTAATCTGATCTGATCTTTGTAATATGATCTTTATAATTTTATCTTTGTAATATGATCTTTGTAATGTGAATCTGTTTAGATTTGGCTCACTCTCTCATTTTTGTTTAATTTACTTACTCTGTTACTTTTGAATTTGTTTAATTTGAATCTTTGTAATCTGTTTAATTTTGAATCTAAATCTGTTTAATTTGAATCTGAATTGAATTTCGAATCTATTTAATTTTGAATATGAATTTGAATCTGAATTGAATTTGGAATCTGTTTACTTTTGAATCTATTTAATCTGAGTCTGAATTGAATTTGAATCTATGAATTGAATCTGAATTGAAATTGATATTGAATCTGGGTGGGTGATATTAAATCTGAATTTTTTTTTAATCTGAATCTGAGTTAAAATTGAATCTGATTTTTTTTTTAAAATTGAATTTGAATTTTTTTTCTAATCTGAATTGAATCTGAATGAAATTGAATCTGAATTGTTAATGTTGGAGCATTTTGGAAAATTATAAGAAAATGATCCAAAAATAAATATTTACAAAATGGAAAAAAAAACTCAAAAATTAATTTTTAAAGGAAAAAACCAAAATCGCAAACCGCCCGCAACCGCCTGCACATCCGTAAACCCTATCCGCACAAATCGCACTGTGGGCAGTTGCGGTTTGACTTTTTCCCAAACCGCATACATGTGGGCGGGTGAAAACCGAACCGCAAATCGCACAAAACCGATCCGCAAACACCCCTAGTGGAAAGCACGTCTCTTGGGCTGATTTATTGAAACTGTTTTAGTTGTGGAAATTGTTAATTACTGGACTAGTAGTGATATCATTCCAATAAAAATGAAGCACAAATCTAAATGCTATCCAAGAAAGAAAATATCCAAACATAGCTATTTAACAAAATTTTATAAGAAAGGGCCTGGATGTTTCCTCACTATTAACATAAAACACATATTTGGAACTTGAATTTGCTAGGGAAAATAAGCAAAAAATAAAATAAAATGAGACTAAAAAAAATCCATTCACAATTTTTCATAAAATGAATGTCTAATTCATTATCACAATTAAAATTTTTCTTTAGGAGTTACATTTACCAAATAAAAAAGCCAACTACAGTTTTATTTTTAAGTCAAAAAACAATCCATTTTAAAGCCAATTCTTTATCAAAAGGGGCTTATACCAAGAATGCTGCATTCAAAAGCTTAGAGGATATTTCAGATAATTCACCAATAGAGTTCTATTATATTTAGAAAACTACAACATATGAACAATGGCAAGGGTTACAACAGGTTACAAGAGACAAATTTTTAAATCCTATATACAGGCAAACATAACTTTGCAGTACATTTGGAGGGATGAAAAATTATTTGAAAGCTAATACAATTGAGATCCACATTTGTTTTCATACCATACTATAGCGATCCTGGTTTTCCCCGTTATGTATTATATTTCGGACTCGAGTCTAGTGGTTGTGGTTGTTGTCTTATTCTTGTTTCCATCCTTTTATACTTTGAATTTGAATTTTGGGATGTGTTGGGTAAGATTGGAACAGGTTGGTTGGGTGTTGGAACATATGATTGCTGTCCAGGTCTTTGTTCCTTCGCTTGAGCGAGACTTTTGTCGCTCGAGCGAGCCTTGGTTTTGTGTCTCTTCACTTGAGCGAGATCTCTTGCGCTCAAGCGTGCGTCTGCGTCCAGTTTGGGCCTGAAGGTTGTCATTCTTGGCTTGAGCGAGCTTTCCTTCGCTCGAGCGAGTGAGCGAGCCCTATGTTTTGAGTTTCTTCGCTCGAGCGAGCGGTTCTTCGCTCGAGCGAGCGGTCCTTCGCTCGAGCGTGCTTCTGGGTTGCAAACCTGAAGCTTCGTGTTGTTCGCTCAAGTGAGGCTTTGTGCGCTCGAGCGAGGTTTGTCTGTGTCTGGTCGCTTGAGCGACCACTCCTTTGCTTGAGCGAGCCTCGAGTATATCAGTTGCAGCAGCGTGTTTCTCCTACACTTTTTCATCTCTTTTCACTTCCAAACCCTAGATCCGACTCTCTCTCTCTCTCTACACTCCCCTTCTCTCTACAAATACTCTTGATCTATAGCTCTTCTATCCTAGTCCCTTTGTAAGAAAGTTGAAGCTTGGCTTGGGCTATCTTTTGATTCCAAAAATCTCGCGTTTGGACCATCTTGGGTTTTTCTCTTCATCTCTTTTGAGCTCCTAACTTTGAGGTAGGGATGATCTACTCCTTTTTATGCGTTTTAACATAAATATTAATCATTTAGTATAGATGTTGGAATTTGGTGATTTGGAAAGCCAGGGTTTGAGGTTTGTGTTATATTAAAGAGGGGTTTTGCGTTTTCAGCTCCATAAGTATATGAGGTCTTAAAATGAGGTTTTGTGGGTTTTGATAGGTGAGATTTGGTCTTAGGATCGATGTTTGAGAAAAGAGAGAAAATGCCCAAATTGAATTTAAATAATTAATTTGTGTAATTAATTTGGTAATTGTGAGGAACATGAGATTGTTTTGAACATCATGAAATTGGATGGAATTGGGACTGATTGGTGTAGTTGGTTTGATAAATCACCCACCTATGGAAAATGTGATCATTTATCTGTTTAGTAAATTCATTTATCTATTTAGAAATAACTGCTTGGGCTATCGGTGGAGGATAGTCTTGATTATTGTAGAATTGCATGATGATTAGGCAAACTGAAACTAATCACTTGAAATATGTCATTGATTATTATAGTGGGAAGAACACATTGAATATGTGCCTTAATTGACCATGGTATAAGATGATGAGTTTAATACATTGTATATGTATTCTTGTTTGGGAGGAGATAGGGGATGTACTCCAGATGTGCTTATTTGCTTTAATACATTGTATATGTATCCTATTTGGGAGGAGATAGGGGATGTACTCCGTACTTGATTATATGTTTAAATACATTGTATATGTGTTCTTTGTTTGGGAGGAGATAAGGAATGTACTCCATGTGTGGTTATATGCTTAAATACATTATATATGTATTCTTTGTTTGGAAAGAGATAGGTGATGTACTCCGTATTTGGTTATATGTTTAAATACATTGTATATGTATTCTTTGTTTGGGAGGAGATAGGGAATGTACTCCACATGTGCTTATATGTATTTTGTTTGGGAGGAGATAAGGGATGTACTCCATAGGTGATTGCATGTTTAAATACATTGTATATGCATCTTTATTTGGGAGGAGATGGGGGATGTACTACATAGAAAACAAAGTTGATCGGAGTGTCCGGGGTGAAAATCCTGAAACCTTATAAATTGAAGTGCATGAATGAAGTTGACTTTTGAAGTGTTAATTACATGAGTTGCAGTCTCATTTTGAGTTGTGGATAACGGAAGTGTTAATAAGTCGAGTTGCAGTCTCGTTTAAATTGTTTGGTTAGATAATGAACCATACTTAGTAATTTAATTGGATAAATAAGGGAAGTGGATTGAAACCTGGTTGTAATTGTTGTTGGGGTATGAGAAGGGTGTGAGTTGGTCCACACATGTTAGTCTTTTATCAAGTGATAATGTTTTAGTTATTTCTCATATTGGGTTTAGTTTATCTCTACTGGGCTTTGGCTCACCCTACTAGGGACACCATTTTTAGGTACAGAGGACGTGCCAAGTTCAAGATTTTTGCTTGGGAGGTTTTAGGAGTTGAAGGCTCTGCTTGTTATTTGTTTGGTTGATTACATGTAAATGCAAGCCGAGGGCTTTATTTTTAAAATATTTAAAACTCTTTTTTTGTGTAACTAAGTAGCAACTTGGAAAGATGTAAGCCCACAGGGCATTCTATTATCTTTGTAAACATTAGTAACTTATATGAAATACTCTTTTGTAACATTAACTCTGATGTATGTATGGAAATGTGACTTCTCTATCAGGTATATAGAACTGTTGGGTGTTGGGATTATGTATTATTTTGAGGGCGTTGCAACTTGGTATCAGAGCGTACCGAGTTTGAAAACTTTAGGTACGTGGGAAGTGGTTAGTACCATAATAGGTTTGTCTCGCTTATTAGAGACTTATGTATGATGTTATATGCTTATGTGATAACATGTTTATGTGACTATATGGGTATGGAACTTAGTTTCTAGGATGTTGATTGGATCATTGGGTTTCTGGGAGTCCTGTTGGAAAGGCACTTGATTACTGCCGTTTCTGATTGGAACTCTAGCAACACCACGGGACGGTCATTATCCGGAGATGAAAGTCGTAAATGCTTAAGTGTTTATGTGTTTACGTGGAATGAATTACTGTTGTCCATTGTGTTAAGACGCGAGTGAAATAGCTTCGGCACCTTTGATAATGTGCTAATACCTTTGTTACTTTTACTAGGATGCCTAGATGAGGAAGTAGTGATTTCCCTCCTTCCACACGGGAAGAGTTGCGGAAACAGTTTGTGGAGTTACGCCAAGGTACTACACCTTTGGTATAGTTTGAAGCATGGTTTGCTAACCTGTCGAGATTTGCCCCAGAATTAGTGGAGACGGAGGAATTGCGTTGTTTAGAGTTTGAGAGTAAGCTGTGTGATGACATCCGAGAAAGGATTGCTGGGTCTTGGCATAGGAGCTATAGCGTGCTTGTTAAGGCGGCAGCTCATGTAGAGGCGGTGGTACTAGCTATGGGGCAAAATAGGGAGGAGGCCATGGTTATGAGTGTTGGTCGGGTTAAGGAGGAGGCCATGTCGGTAACTCCTACTGTTCATAAGCACTCTAGGCTCAGCAAGAGGTGGAGACGAGTGCATGCTCAGT